GGCTTCCGGTGCAACGCTCCGCCCACGTTTTTGGATCGGCGACATGGGACGCAATTCCCACCATGCACCATGGCTGGACCCACCTCCTCCCTGAGTTTCCCATTTCCCCTCCTCTTGCTCCCCTGCCCCTCCCGCCTATGTTATGTCTACTTTTCATTTACCAGCATGCTTAGGTTCCAAAGGCCAAGTCGTTATGTGAAAATGACTGACGGCCGCATCAGACCACAAAGATTGCATCGCCACGTAACTGTCAAATCATGTCATTGCACAACTGTCAAATCATTCATCACATAACTGCCAATTACACCATTCCATAACTGCCGGGTACATCATAACATAATGCCAAGTTACATCACCAATTGCCTCGTCACAGAACTGCCAACCGCCTCATCACAGAACTGACAATTACCTTAGCACAGAACTGAAAATTACTTCATCACAGGACTGCAAATTACTTCATCACATAACCACCTATTGCATCATTATTTAGCTGCCAAGTACATCATAACAAAATGCCAAATTACATCATAATAATGGCCAATTACCTCATCACAGAACTGCCAATATCTTATTTCATAACTTCCATTTACTTCATTACGCAACTGCCAATCACCTCAGTACATAACTGCCAATTACTTCATTATGTAACTGCCCGTTACCTCATTGCCTAACTGCCAACCCCCTGAGCAGTATGGCCCCGTGAGGGTGACATAGCCTTAGCAATCACGGCCAGCACTGTTATCCTCACCTGCCACCTGGGCATTGTTACAGCTAGACACGTGTCATTAACACAAAATAGTCAGAGTCGACGGCTTGCTGTCGTCATGGATTTAAAATGCAAGCGAGCAAGCAGGAGTGACACGGGGCGCCAATGTAGTCCCCGCATTCCTGTACTTCCGTCCTCGCCTGTGGGATGTATGTGGGCATCTGCTCTTGGTAATTGGTCATTTTTGCCTTCTCCCTCTCTCATTTATCGGTCATGCTAGGGGACTGTTTTATTTCATTGTCTCAGACAACCGAATCCTCTGCTGCACTTCACAGGCAGTTCATCTGAGTGACTGTAAGTGCTGTCTCCTGCCTGTGCTTCCTCTGGCTCGTAGGCTGTTTTTCTGAGCTGGCTCTCCGATACTCGGTCTAGTTTTCTGGATCGAGCACAGCTCAGCTTAGAGCCACGTTCTGATCTTTCGCAGCTGCCTTCAGTCCACCTCCAGTGTTTCCTCAGCGTCCCTCTGAACTAGTGGGACTCGGTTCCCAACACCAGGGCATTTCCCAGGGATGCTCTTAGCTTCCGAAGCCTTGCTCACGCAGGTGGCGGACTGAGAAGACGCGTGAATTCACTCAGCTGGAAGACAGCCAGATCCAAGGAGTGTTCCTCCCCGGGGTGAGCATCAGGGTCTCATTGCTGTCCATGACCGTGGAACCTCCTTCCCTGGGTGAACCATATGCTGTGTGTCCATGTGGCCACGGTGACCAGTGCTCCCACAAGCAGTGATATCCCGGTTTGCTTTCTCAGATGCTGTTCCTCTGACGAGTGGAGGCCCAGCTCGGGGCCAGCGGTTCTCACAGGGCTTGGGAGAGAGCCCGGGACACAACTCGGGAACAGAGATTCAGGTCACAGGCAGGTGGGTGGCTCCTGAGGCCAACACTTCAGACTGCATCTGACTGGGGTCTCGGCTTTGGACTCTGACGTGCCCCTGCTTTTAGACCTCCAGGAACGAAAGCTGGGAGGAGGGGGCTGTGCATCTCCGATACCCAAGGAGCCCGGGTCCTTTAAGATCTCAGGCTTGCCATTGCCTGAGCCCGGCCTCCACCCACAGGGCACTCAGCCCCGTGCAGCGGACCTCACGCAGCTGCTGCAACCATGAGAGCAACACTCTCGTAACCAAAAACCATTGTTTGCATTAATGTTTCATATGCCGAGCGATGAATGGGCTACACACACACACACACACCCCTCATTCCCCTCCCCCAGGAGAGGCTGGAGCAGAGCCATTTTGAGGGACCGGTCTACTATAGCTCCAGGGAAAGGAGAAAGGGTGGAGATCAGAGAAGAAGGGGAGAGCGGGTGATGGGGACCCAGAAAGAAAGGCCTGGGGGCCGACTGACAGCCAGGACTCGAGATCCACCCACAACCGTCCAGGGGACATCAGCATGGGGGGGAGAAGTGGCAAACCCCAGGTCCCTGGCCTGAGGACTCAGGAGCCGTGGGCCTCAGGATGCCCAGGCCGCCCCCGCAGAGCTGGTGACCCACCCAGTCGGTGGCACTCACCCACAGGGAGAAGCCCCAGGCTGAGGGTCATGGCCTCCAGGAAGGCAGGCCAAGTGAGTGACCAGGTGCCCAGAGCCTCCAAGCCAGGCTGGGAAGGGGCAGCCAGCTCACTGGCCTTAGCAGCTTTAGACTGGCAGACCCAGGGGCCTGAGTTCCATTTTATTGGATAAGAAAAGTCACTTGGTCTGAAGAGGAAGCAGGCCTGAGGCTAAGGAAGCAGGCTTCATGCAGCCTGGGGTGAAGGGACACTGGGTAGTGGCAACTCAGGTGGACATCACAGAAATGCACCCCCGGCCGCCCCAACTCACCTCCAACAAATGGCCTCCTCCCCAGGAAGTCTGAGGGGCAGCCAGAGCCGAAATAGAAGCCCAAAGCCCCACGCTGACTCGCGGCCAGCAGAGGGGCCCTGCAGCCCAGAGCAGAGGCCAGGGAATCTTCACAGTCCAGACGGCTCTGTCTGCTCAGACTTCAGGCCAATAACAACCCAATGCTTAACTACTGTGCACCAGAGCACCGTAAAGA